CTCACAATTATACATAGCACTGACTCAAACTCTCAGGTGGCTCCCATGGTCATTCTGATCCATGGAAAGGCAGAGTGGTTGTGAAAGGAGTGAGGAAAGGGTGACCTTCACTACCTTTAAATTTGGGGGAACTGCCTCGTTGCTCTCTGTGCTCTGCTCTTGTGGCACTGGCTGTGATTTATTGGTTTGCACAGATGATAGAGAAGAATCCTGAGGGACTCTCCTGCCATCCCCAGGAAGATGGATTATCTACACTTGTAAACCCTGCTGTCACTTGTGGATTGTAGAAAGGTGACCAGGTGGCATTCTCCAACCTCAGGCTCAGAGAAAAATATGATCTAATGGTGTATGAATTGAAGGAAATTTTAGCTTCTTGGATAGAAACTCCAGCCCTGGGTTGCAAGGACTTATGGTGTTCAAAGTTTGCTTAGTTTGATAAGCTTTAAAATCAACATATAAAGGTATTTAAACTGTTCTATCTGTTATCAAGTACATTACTGTCATTCACTGAACACCTTTGTGAATTCACTTGGCACTACAGCGTGCCACACACTTGACAAATGTACTGCATTGTATCATAAAATAACCCTATTTTTTTCACTTTATGCTTGATGAAATGAAGGCTCACAGAGGTTAAGTAAGTTGACCAAGATCTCATCCATCAGTGTTGTAACTAGGATATGAACCTGGGTCAACCTGGCTCCATGTGTGAGCTCTAGAACACTTCGCTTGGGGCCTCACCCACGCACTTCCCTGAAGGGCAGCATCCCCAGTGCAGCTTGGCCCCACTGCAGCCAGACTGCAGCCAAGAGTATTCCTGAGACAGGCACTGTTGCTGCGGCTCCGCCAGGATGACAGCTTCCTGCAGTCCACCTGGGGCTTCTTGCCTGCATCTGTGACCTCTGTGCTGGTTGCATCCTTAGCTCCCGCTCACAGATTCTACCTTTCAGATTTCCAATTTTCTTTCTCTGCCCTGATTACCTCACAAATTTATTTTTCATTTTATGCAATTTTAATGTGTAAAATATCATTCGCAAACTTATATGAAATAATGATCAATATTCATTTCTACTTCATAAACTTGTGAAAATAGAGCTTTTTCAAGGAAGGAGGAACCCCAACACAGAGCTCTTAATGGGCATAAATTTAATTAGGTGAAAGGCAATTGCACTTATTTAACCTCAGCGCCATGGTTCTCTGCACCTGTGATGGACTGAAACATCAGGAGCAGTCTACGTGATGGCCATGTGTCCAGCAATGCAGGGCGAAGTCTTGCTCATCCAAGCTAGGGAAGACTGAAGCTCAACTGGCTTTCTGCAGCAGCAGTGAGGCCTGCAACGCCTTTGTAAGTGCGACCTTGACAGACAGCACTGGTGCTTAACCCTTTTATATCCAAATGGAACCACCTTACGTGGATGGTGTTGCTCCGCCACACATACATTTGGCTAATCTTGAAGGGAGAGTGAACCACTCTGAAATATTACAGGGGGAAAAGGTGATGGGGATCAATTAATCTTTTCCTATGGAAGAATTGTTTTCTTTTTGTTTAAAAATGCTAAGCTATGTTTAAAATCCACAAATTAAATAGCAAATAACACAATACACTACAAAGAGAGAAGGGGGCTTATACGTATGTCTATCTGATTTTTTATGTTAAAAAATACATATAGTTATATGTAAGAAATGTAAATTTTTAAAAATCATTTGTCCATTAATTTTACAAAATATTGGATTGCATTGCATACACTTTGCTTGTGTCCATCTGAATCCCAGACTTCTGAGCCTCTCCTTTATCATATTAGCACGAAGCTGCATTCTGCCTGTCTGGCCCCATCCTATTACCTTGGTTCCTCCACATAACACCCTAATATCCGTTGGGTGCCATTTCCAAAAGCATCCTCACTACACCTCCTGCATGCGTGTCCCTCTCACAGGCTACTTCAGAGAAACTTTCGTTTACTTCTTTCACTTAAAATAAAGAGTGAATCTTGGGGCCGGGGAGATGGCTCAGTAATCCTACATCCCTGGCAAGCACAAGGGCCTGAGTTCAATGTCTAGTTCTGGGAAGAAAAAAAAAAAAAGATTGAATCTCGTCAGACAAACACAAAGAGGAAAGATTAATATAGAGTATTTTAATAATCATCACATGAAATTCTTTATAGCAGCCCTAATTCAAAACTATTCTTCAAACATTTAATCTAGGATATTCTAAGCATTGTTCTAAACTCTGAAGATAAAAAGTGAAACAGGACTCTTGATCACAAGGAACTCACTACATGAAGCAATCATTACAACAAAGGAATTCACATAGGTCAAGATATGTAGTAAAAGTGTGTCCCGAAAATATAGCACGGAACACCTATCCTCCACCCAGGGGCACAAACAGTTTCACAAAAGCATCTGACAGAAATCCAAAAGGCACAAACCTTTGGAACCACGCACGCTTTGCTTGCGCTCCCCACATCCAAACTCTCTGCAACAGCGCTTCCCTGAATGTCCTCACCAAATGCTCTCTCTCTCCAGGACCCTCTGCTCTCAGAGCAGCAGCCTCCCAGCTGGTCTTCCTGCTGCCACCCTTTCCCCTCTCAGTCTCTCAGCAGCAGCCAAGGGATGCTGGTGAATCTGGTGGACTTTCTCTGCAGGTGAGACTCCCAATTGTTCCCATCCTTCCTGAAACTGAAGACAGCACTACAGCTAGAGCCCAGCACCTCCTCTGGCCTGGGTCTGGCCCAGGGCCTTTCTTTCTCATCCAGCAAGGAATCTCCTTTCATCTAGCTCTCTGTCAGCCCCTCAGGCCATTCTGGGTATCCTGGGAGCTGCCAGCACCCACATGCCTCAGGTGAGTCTACCTGCTCTGCCCGCTGTGCCCGTGGCTGAGTTCCTCCCTCCCATCTGGTCAGAGCTTCAGAAAACTCCTGACCACTCCCCCAGCACCTTATATTCCATTTCCCTGCATCCTTTGCCACAGGACTCACTCCTTCCATGATGGTTATTTATTTTATACACAGTTTATCGCTCTGCAATAAAACAAACCCTCCAGGAAGGCAGGGACAGGTAGATGCTTTTGTTTCTAGCACATTCCCTGCACCCACCACCATCCAAGAACAGAGTAATCCTCATGAAACATTTGTTGGATAAACTGATTTTTTATTATGAAAGGAAGATATGAGTGAAGCCCATAAGCACGAACAATTTCCATGCTGAAAGGCATGGAAATCAAAGTACTTCTAATCTCATACAACTGAAATGGAAAAATGTTCAATGGTCAGACAGAGCTAGGAGCACAGTGTGCAGATGGAAATCAGGTTCTCTGGTGATTAAGGGCTGAACTCCCTTCCCCGAGTTCTTACTTTGAATACCCAAAGCTCGAGGTCTCAGAACGCGACTATATTTGGAAACAACCCTATGAAGAGGTGACTGATTTAAAATAAGGATGTTGCAGTGGGCCCTAATCAATTCTTATGAGCGTCCTTCTAAGAACAGGAAATAGACACACCCACAAGGTACACAAAGAGGGAAAGGGCACATGCACACGCAAGTATAGCGTGGCATTTGCAAGCTCCACAGAGAGGCCACAGAAGAAACCGCGCCTGCTGAGGCCTTGATCTGAAACTTCTAGCCTTCAAAATTGCAAAAAAGGCATTTCTTGTCTTTAAGCCATCCAGTTGCTGACACTTTGATAAGGAATTATAGGTTTTTTTGTAAGAGTCCCTGTAACATTTGAGGCAGGGGTGAAAACATGAACAGAAGAGACTGAAGCTGTTGGAAGCCTGCATTTGTGGGGATGTGGAAGCAGGAAAGACTTGAGCCCTGAAGACTAAAAGGAGAGTATTTCCAAGAGTTCAGATCTACTTCAAGGAAACACAAGAAAGGAGTGTAAAACTGAGAGCAGAGGCAGTCAGAGTCGACTCAATGCCACATCAGATGTGGTAGCAGCACCCGCCACACAATGGAGTTAGACGCAAAAGGATCAGAAAATAAAACAGTTTCAGTGGTGTCTCCCACATGTGAAGCTTCTCAGTCAGGACCTCTAAGTCAGGTACAAACAGCTCTTCTGATGCGCCAGAACAGCAGGTCCAGGCTAGGAACGTGTGGGCGGCAGGAGCTGCAGGTTGCGACCCTCCTGGGATACAGTATACTTTCAGATCCTCAAGAGTCACAGCAGGTTTACGGGGAAGACCCTTGGGAGCTCTGCTTACCAGGGAGCTTTCCTGCCTGTTGGACCGGGAACCTTTTTGTGTGAGTGACGCACTTTTAGCTTCTTTCAAAACATGAGTACTCTAGAAATTAACCCAACTTGGACACACTGCTGTGTTCCAGTGTAGCAGAACAGTTCTAAGCAACCAAGATGCCTGAGCTGGGTGGTCCCTTTTTCCAGAAAGAACACAATATAATACTGTCTTAACTCGCTGGCATAAGGAGAAAAAAAGAGAAAGCTATTTGATTTTTTTGTAGCCTAATTATTAGTAATTTTGAAAAATCAGTCTTTTGAAAGTGGCACAAATTTTTCACCTCCCTAAAGCAGCACTACACAGCTCCTTGAGGGAAAAAAATATTGTAGTGCTTTAGGAGGAACATGCGGCTCAAATGCACAAATCTGGGAACAGCTTTTTTTTTTCTTCTTTCTTTGTTTTGTTCTGTTTTAATGTATTTGGTTGTTACAGGGTCTCACTATGCAGCTCCGACTGGGTGATCCTCCTGCTTTCAGCCTCCCCAGGGCTGCGATTATAGGCGTGCACACCCTGGACTCTGTGTCCAGCTCAGCTCGCCCTGGGGGCAAGGCTGGCGCAGCACGTGGCGCAGGGAATCAAACCACCCTCCCCTCACTTGCCTAGGCTTGCCTAAGCAGGGCTTGGGGCCACTGCGCCATCTCACCAGCCCCGGGGAACAGTGTTTAACAAGGAGTTGTGACCAGGGTTACCTGCCCGGTCAGTGGCAGTCTACACCTTCATATACCCCCACCGGCCTCTGCAGGCCTCTGCATCTGTGCGGGGACTCACATGCGATGCGCACATAGGCCTTCCGGCTCTTCGTGGTGCCCGCCGAGCTCCAGGCCACACACTGGCACCAGTAGTCTTCAGGCCCGAAGAGTTCTTCCACTTGCTGCCGAGAAATCTCAATGCTCACTTCCCGGACGATGAGACCTGAAGAGAGAAAGGAAGGCCCAAGTCAGGTGCAGACTGTGCCAACAGGACGGAGAGGTGTCCTGCCCTCGGCAGGCCTCACGTGCCGCCTCACGTGCCGCCTCACGTGCCCGCCACTCAGCATTCAGATGCACATGCTCTTTCATCTGCTGGCCGCACTCACCTCACCCAACAGCTTTTCAGTTCTCTCAGGGCTGTTTCAAACCTTTGAAGCTCCCCTGAGAATCAAAGTGAAGAGCACTCTGCAAAATAACAGCTTTCCCCAAATAGCATGCAAATATTTATCTCCCAACTGCTTAGATATCCAGGGCAGTCTGGATTTCACATCTTCTAAGGATTCTACCTCAGTTAGGCAGGTGGAAGCTAAGAAGCCCAGCTGCTACTCACAATATTACCACACCTAAATCTTCCTAAGTCATCGCAGGAGATGAGAGAGAACAATCTACGTGTATGATCTAAACCTGTTATTTTAACAATTAGATTACCTTAACAGTTATGCTTCAGTTATAATTACAGTTTTTTTAAAGAAATGCGAACTTCAGTGAACAAACCTATGGAATCCTAGTAAAAGAATATATGGCTTTATGATTTTAATGTATAATGTTCCAAGAAATGCTTCTCTGTAATTTCTCTGTGACTAACTGGAATTTATTTCATAGCACTATGTAATCCTAAATAACAAAAATTGAAATAAAAACTGAAATTATCATTTGAGGGGAATTTATCTTGCAATGTGAAGGCTGTTTCAGAGGTTCATTCTGCAATATACCTCTGGAGTGAGAAAGAAAAATTATTTGAAAAACGTATGAAGAACTTCAACTGCTAGTTCTCCTGGAGCCTGAATGCATGCATTTCCAGAATGCAGCATCCACCACAAGAACCAGCAGAACACCGCTATGGAGTAAGAGAACTCACCTTAGGACAAGGATGAGAACAGTAAAAATGATTAAAGGAATTGCTATGTATTTGTTCATATTCATTCATTCATTCAATAAATATGTATCATTGATTATGTAATAGATGCCATATTAGACACTTGTGATATTCTAATGAGTAAGATGGTCACCATGTTCAATGAACTTGTAATATTGTAATTGTTAACATGAACTTATAGTTCATGTTAACAATTCTGTCTTTTATCACAACTCTTTATGGGCTGGAGCTCACCAAGAGTATAACTTGGTAGTTAAGTACATGTATGAAGCACAGAGGGAAAAACTGTCTTGAGTGTATAGGGATGAAAAGAAATCATAAGGGAAAGCAATCTAGAATGAAGGATTCTATATGAGTCAGTCTGTAAGCAAGACAATTTAGAGATTGAGAACCTCATAGAAAACTAATACCATGGGACACAGAGGAGCCTGGCATGCACAGGGACTGAAGACAAGAGAAGATCCGATGTATACAGCCTTGGACTCCAGTGGTTCTGAGTGTGGCCCCAAAACAGTTTCATAAGCACCACCTGGGGATCTGTTGCAAATGCAAATCCCAGGCCTTATTTCAGACTCATTAAATACGAAACTTTGAGGCTGGGATCCAGTAAACCATGGCCCGACAAGTACTTTTTTGACAGGTGTGAGAATCTTTTCCCTGCCTCTTGAAGGCTTTGGGTTTCTTCCTGAGAGCAATGGATATCAATAAACTGTTTTAAGCAAGTAGATGACAGGAAGTAGGTATTACCCTATAGGGTAAGAAACAATATTTTCCTTCAAAATACATAGGGCTGTTCATCTACTAAAACGATGGGGCTTGAGTCACGGAAACTACTGGGTCCTTAGATCTGCTACAGATTGAACTGGACTGAGTATCAGGGAGTCAGATTTCATAATCCAGAAAAAGGGCAAGGTCCTACAGGACCAACTACATTCTCAAAACTTTATTAAGGGGGCTGGTGAGATAACTCAGTGGTCTAACGCACCTGCTTAGGCAAGGGCAGGAACTGGGTTCGATCCCTGGCACCACATGCTGGGCCAGCACCACATGCTGGGCCAACCCCACCCACAGGGCAGGCTGAGGTGGCCACACACACATACAAAAAAAATATTAAGTATATAAGAAAATATTTAAAGTTTTTCAAATTAGTAATCTTTTATGTTAGCTTATATAATAACTAAGTTAGAAAGAATTTTAAAGTACATGGCATATTTCAACCTCTTACTCCTCTATGAAAAGATTAATAACTCATTATAGTCAGTGACCAATTAATACCATAATCTTAACAGAGAAATGTCAATGGTATTAACAAACATCACTCTTTTCCTCCCCTTTTGTCGGTTCCTTCTCAGTTCTCCTATTTTTCATATCTTATTGTGAGGTTTTTTTCTTATTACTCCTTTGCCCAAAAAACTGTGTCTATGCAAAGTTGAGTGTGGCCTCAAGCCCTACCTTCTTCTCTTTTTCTTTTCCCCACTCTCATATTTACTGCTTTTCCTATTTTACTTGTTTATGCATTCCTTCTCCAGGCAGAAATTCAGCAACTGGAAACAAAGCTCGTCCTTTAAACTTGATGCAGGACATTTACAGTCACCAAAGGGCTGATAAATGTGCAGTGTGTATTTCTTTCAAACTATAATGGCTCTTTCCAAAACGCAGAACAGCAACAAATGGGCTCAGGATATTAAAACCACATACAAATATTTTGAGTCCCAAGATGATAACCTCAGGTTTCATTCCTCTCTTTTACTTACAGCAATTACAGGAAACCTAATTAAATGCTAGTGGAACTTTACTAGGTCCACTGTAGCCTGTATCCAACAGATTCATGGATGTTTCTACTGACCACAAATCTGAAGCCTTTTAAGAAGCCACTGACAGCCCCGCCTGCTGCAGGAGTGACTCCCAAGATGAATGTTTAGAACTGTTCAGCCAGGCTCCCTGTGGGCCTGGAGGGAAGCAAACACCAGTTTTTGCCTTCAGCTTTACAGATGCCCCATTCAGGAGAAGACGGGCAGTCACAGTTGAGTGCATTTGTTCTGCCACACAGCTCAAAGTTTACATTCTGATATTTGGTCAACAACACAAGACCAAGGAAGAACTTTTGCAGGCAGAATCTAAGCACTCACAGCTCAGAGTTTGCTGGCTGCCTCACTTGGGCTCTGATCTCCACAGTAGAACACCACTGTCTCATGAACATAGTATGTTCATTGCCAATGACATTTTGCCCATCAGTCCCGAGCCCAGCAGTTTGGATGAAGGTAGATAACATCTTTTCTCTTTGAAAGTAAAATTTCAAATCTGCTTCAAGTCTTGAGATAGAAAAAAACAAGCTTCCTTGAAATTTGAAATACCATCAGAATTACTTCCAAGGAGGGTTGCTTTGAAGAGTGTTTGGGAACTTGAGATTGGTTTCAGGTTATTTAAGGGTGGGGGAAATGCTTCAGTCTACAGGATTTACACAAATATAAATGTGTAGTTTCCATCACATCTGATAACATCAAAGATTTCCCATCACTGTGTTTCCTTTAATAGTGACATCTCAAAGATGCACGCTGTTTGAAGTTTGCAGTGATTTGCTTTTATAATAGGATTCCTTGTGGTTGGGAGCCAGAATGCAGGAAAGTAATTAGCATGCTATGCCAAGACATCTTATAGTGACTATGAGAACGTACATGTTAACAGAGAATTTCAAAGAACATAGACATCCAAAATTAGCCTTCTGTTTGGATCTCTGTGAGACCATGCATAAAGATGGCAGTAAAACCTGTAATGACATTTATGGCTCTTCTTTTGAATAAGTTTAATTTCATAATACTAGCCAGGCACCACAACTCATATTTTTTCTAGGATTTTACTGTAAAGTGATTGCAAATATATGATTCCCACTATATAATTACTTAAATATCCATATTACCACAGAAATCGTAGCTGTAGTAATGTCATCAAACAAGTACTGAAAGTGTACCAATGTCAGAAATTATGTAGTTGCAGAAATATAAATATGGATCAAATTACCCAGATTTGAGCAGCTTCCTTATTACATAATAGGGTTTTGTTTATTAGGTGGTACTTAAGAATTACATACCATCTTATGCTATTTTTAAATATGGTCACCATTCTGCATTTTCAATATTCCATGAATGCTCCAATGAGAGCCAGCCTAAGTCAACTTTAGCTTAGGTGCTATGCGTTTCTGAGCTATCCTGCTCCTCCTCCTGCCCAGTGACTTTGCCTTTCTGATGGGACTGGGAAGCTCTGAGATCACCTGCTGTGCAGTCCTGGTCATTTGGCTTCCTGTAGCCATCTCTCTAGTAGGAGAAGAACCGCAGTTCTCTGCCAAATTTCATTATAGGACATTCATAGTTAAGACACTAGTTGGTGGGAAATGTACAAAGCTGCAGGTAGCAATGTTCTGGAATATATTACAAAATATATTACATTTTATTGAATTACTGTGGTATCTTCCTCATGCTTCTATTCAGAGCCTAATCCTATTAGTCTTCAGTAATATGATCTAAAATATGAAACATATCAGTTCTAGATGGCTTAATGTAAATTAAATCACAAAATACCCTGTCATTATTTAAAAGGATTTCATACCATAAAAACTGATAATTATTTTAGCAACCTAGAACTCTCAGTATAATAAGCAAAATGCGATAACTTGAAAGGTAAGACTTCACAATCAAGATGAGAAGTTGTGCCACACAAAGTCATTGGTCAGCTTTTAAACTACAGCAAGAAAGAAAGACATTGTAAACACAAGATTTCTCAGCTTTTCTCTGAAGTGCTTTCCTTGAATTTTCAATGTAATCCTTAATATATAAACAGAATAATTTAATTAAAATTATGTTGTGCAGTTGCAAATTTAAAATTCTTGGAATATTAGCTTTGTTACAAGTATAAGTTTATTGAAGTTATATTTACTGTCTTTGTGATCAAGAGAAATCTAAGAAATAAGCAACTTATGAAGACTGAATCACAAGAGAGAGAAAATCTGAATTGGACAATGAATAAGAAAATTAAATCAATAATATAAAATCTCCTAAGAAATGCCTAGAATC